AACTGAACAGAAGTCTCTCTACAACATATTTTTTTCATCATCTTTTTCAGGGACAAAAATCATTTGCATTCTAATTAAATCTATTGAGAATTTATGATTAAACAAACAAATAAAATTCTTCTTCCCATTTATTCATTTGATTTTCGCAGAGGAAGATAAATCCAAATCTCATCCTCTGATATAAAAAGAAAGTGCTCGCATAAATTTATCATCTATGAACTGTGACTAAAAAACAGGAAAAATGAATATGCGCAATTCTCCCTATATATATATAGAGAGAGAAATATTAAGGAAATTCCGTTGTTTTTTTTCTCATAGTAATGTGTGTGTCACAAAAATTTACATATTGTGTTGATTATTGAACTTTCCTTCAATTTTTTCTTCTTCTTACGAATGCTCAAGACAAAGAGTTATGGATATATCATCGACTAGTGTTTTTTAATACTATAACTGAAAATTGATCGACACCTTGTTGTGTGTTAATTGTTATAATTCGAGTAAGGTTATATCCGTCTTATAATTTAGGCATAAAAAGATAATAAAAAGGCATCAGTAGATGGTTAAGATGTTAGTTTTTCATAGATGAATTAAAATGTTAATAAAAATGTAAGTGATAATAGTGAAATATTTATTATTAAAATTAGACATATCTTTTTTTATTCTACACAAAAAGACTACAAATCTCATTTTACAATTGAACGAACATTAAATATATTATGTTATTTCAGTATGAATAACGAGTTTAGAAGGAAAACACAATTAAAGAACGCAATAACACAACATTTCTCTCTCTTTATATATATATATATTAGAACAATAATAAAGACAATTTAAAATACTTTTTCTTTTCTTTTTTTCTGACTTGGCTTGGTTTGTATGTATCTGAGGAAACATTATCCATAAATCCGTTTAATAAAACAAAAAGATATTAAGATGAAGAAGAAAACATACATAAATCCAATAAACGATTAAAATAGAGAGAGAGAGAGAGAGAGAGAAAGCAAGATGATATTGATGATAAAAAAGTCATTTTGAGTTTGGTAGTGTTACTTTTAAACAGTAGAAAATAGCTGACATAATTATAGGTTAGAAAAAATAAATAAACTATAAAATATTCGATCTATCTGTCTTACGAAGATTAAGAACATGACAAAGCAAACATTTTCGTTTTATCTAAATCGTGGGTTAGTACAGTGTCTTCTCACATTTAATGGTTAGATATTTCAACCAAGTGAAATAATTTGATTAGTTTAAACTATAAATTTTATCATATAAGAATATGAAATTAGAGTAGAAAATATTCAAATTGTTTTCCTTTACTATAGTAATCAAATATTTATTGGTGAACATAATTCTTATCAGTGTAGATTATTAAAGAAGGAGATTTAAGTTTTTCAACATTTAAAAATTGTAAGAAAAAGTTTCTCTTGAAATTTCATATTCTTTGCAAAGTGTTCATCAACATATTTTATTTGCAAAAAGGTAACTTTCTTTCTATCTAAAAAAAGATTGTATCATATCACGCTATATACTAGTTGAACAAGTCATCGAACTAGTTGACTGACAAAGTGACAACATTCAACTATGATCATCTATAGAATTATCATTTTTATCAACTGTTGAATGCTTATTAAATGTATATGAGAAATAACTATAATCTTTTATCTTATTTATAATTCAAATTTTTAAATTCAAAGATTTAAATAGACTGAATAAAAAATTGACAGGACATTTTGAGTTTTGAAAACCGAAAGAAAACATTTAATATACAGACAAAATGATCATCAATCATTTTTCTACTATATTTCTTGTTCAAATTATAATACTATTTCCAGATATGCAAATATTGATAAATCAAACTTTTTTTTTCTTCTTCTCTAGTTCAAGACACTATAGAGTACTAGTTCCTTTTTTTTTCTTGTAATTACGACAGAGAGAGAGAGAGAGAGAAAGAGAAGATCTATCTACTATTTCAATACAAAACAAAAATGGATGAGCGTTTGACGTCTTTCTTTTTAGAGTGAAAGCGAAAGAGAGAGAAAGAGTATGTAATCAAATGACACATTAAACAATTTTGTCATTATTATTAACGTTATTATTATAAATCAGAATTAACATATGTTAGAATCCTTCTATCATAAATGCATAACATAATGAAAACTTGTAATAGAGTATGTTGCTATTTTCTCTCTCTCTCTCTCTCTTTTCTTTTTTATGTAATTATTTTTTGTTTATACAATAGAATTTTGTTAGTATATTATCGTACAACGTCGTACACTTTCGTAGTAGAAAAAAAAAATGATTTCAAAATCACGTGAAAAGAATAAATAATAATTTATACTCTGAATTCTTGATATATCAATAATTTTCAATGTCTGTCTTAAAGATATTTTTTCATAGAATTTATAAATTTCTCCATAATCTTGTTTTCAATATGAATTGAGTAAATTATGATACATTTTGAGTTCATCCTTGCTGATTATTGTACAAATTAACTTCTATGACTAAGATGAATATAAAGATCCAAATTTATTCTTTGTTAAAAATTTTCAACTTATTATCGTCGCTGTTAAATGTTATTTGTGGTAATAATATTGTACACATACGTATACTCTCTCTAATCGGTTTTAAGAAGTTAATGGACAAGATTAGACATGTCCTCTTTTTGTTTCTATACTTTATAGGTACCAGAGAAAAATAAAAAGTAAGGAAGACAAAGGGTGGTATGTAAAAGAAAAAAAAATGAAAAATAAGGATAAGAATTTGAAATATGTACCGCGCTAATAATTGTTCGATATCGTAAATGATACACTTTTCTTTTCTTTGTCCTAGAGTAGCATAGATATGACGGTTTTCATTTTTATTTTATGATAAAAAAATAAATAAATGCAACGTTTTATGATAATCTTTTTTTATCATCATCATCATTATCATCATTATTGGTATTTTCTTCTTTATCACATACTACGAATTGCAACTTTTCTCTTCCATTTTTTTGGCTTGTATTTATACTCTGCTTCGTTTTTCGATATACAAAATAAAATTCTGTTTTGATAAATAGTCGATTACATCATATTTTTGTGAGTCTGCGATGGGTATAAGATTCATTTACATGAAATATCTCTATGATATGATATGGACTCTGCTTGAAGCGGATGTAATAACTATGTAAAAAAAATAAAATAAAATAGAGTACGTGTGTTAATGTAACAGCAATATGACAGCAACAATGAAGAAAAATATAAAAAAAGGAGATTATTTACATTTCGAAACTGTATGTTAACGATCATTTTCTTTTTTCTTCTGTTTGTTATCTAAGATTTAGACGTTTTATTAGAAAAAAAAACAAACGTGAGACGCAGTGAGAATCTTTTTTCGGGCGCATTGATGAAATGAAACACCAGAGAGAAGATCCCATTTGAAGGAGAGCATAACGTCTGTGAAGTATATCATTTAATTTTACAGTTTTATTTGAGTGAAGGTAAGATCGAAAGTCTATACATATTTACAATGATTGTTAAAACAAAAAAAGGGCAGTTAATCAGTAGAAAAAATGTTTAAATTCATTCAAAGATACTTATGTTTATTCGTACTCAAAAGTTACATTGATCCATGGATTTTGTCTCTAGCTTGATGCTTTACCATTGAGATGACTTTTAGTATTAACTTTTTTTCTTAAAAATGTTCTCTCTTACATTTGTTTTTTCATTCGATATAGAGAAAAAACATACATCTAAACGATTTTCTTTTTTTAATGTGTACCATTATAAAATGTTTTATGATTTAAATGTAAAAATTAAAACTGCTCCAGTTATCAATCAGTTCTCTTAATTCTTCATTGTTTATGTTCAACTTGCGCGTTGTATTGATCCAAGGATTATATGAGTATAAAAAAATTTGTTTGTGACGATGATGTGAAGATAGATTGTTTTATACTTTTCGTTTTTGTTTTTTTTTGATAGAGATGTCAAAATTATCAATTTCATTCAAATCTTTGGGCTACAATAATGTACAGGGAAAGTTACTTTTTCTGTTTATCACGAAAAAACAAAATATTCGTTGCTAATGCGAATATAAATAAGTTATTTTGTAATTTATCCTTGTCTCTTCTTCTCAAATTCGTATTTGGCACTGTATGGATGTGAAACAAGGCGAAATATCATCCTTATTATCACATAAATATCATGAAATATTCAGATCATTTTTCCTTATTTTCATCTCGATTTTGACAACAAAAAAAGGAATATAGAGAAATCTATTCTTCTGAGATAAAAACAAATAAAAATATTAAACAGAATAAAATAACAACAACAAAATTTTTTTGACTATCTCAAAAGTTTAGAGAGAGAGAGAAAACCTATTCGTATATCTCTGCACAGTGATATGACGAGAAGAAGGTTGTCTAACTAAGAATATTTCATATTATGAAAAAAAAATATAGTTAATCGTATCCACACAACACAGCAGAAGTAAGATTTAATTAAAAATCGTTAAATTGAAAAAAACAGATTATGCTCTGCGCTTGACTTTCATTGAAAATGATGGTATGAAGCTTTTATTCGCTAATAGACATCAGAAAGTTTCAAATTTAAGAAAGCATTTTACTCTCTTGTGAGTTTTATCTACATATTCTGATCATGACTGTTTCATTCCAGGACTTCTCAGCTCTTTGCAGTTTTATAATACTCAATTGTATTGATTTAAAATAGTCTTAGTCAGACTAATTTTTAGCATTTAGAAAAGTGTCTAAGAGTTGAACAGCAACGTGACTGCATATAAAAGGCAGAGAGATGTTTAAAAAAAAGGTTTCTGCTGTGAACAAAGACAAGATAATTTTGTGTTTAGAGTTTGATTTTCAGATGCGGTTTTCAGTCTTTAAAAAATTAGCATTTGTTTTTCTTTTCTCTGTGTACACTTTATACTCTTTTTTTTTTTAAACAATAGTCCCTGATACACACTGTATATATAGTAGAATTGATAACATATTCTTCACTTTGTACATGTATCATGTTACCAGTTAGTAGATAACGAACGTCACATGCTGATGATCAATCAATGGCATCATGTCTGTATTTCTTAGATGCATCTACATGCACAACTATTCGTCTAGGAAAGATGTTACTACTATTACTACTACTACTAATACTAATAGAGACAAATGTAAAGAGTTTAAGCTACTGTCTTTTCATTTTTGGTTAGAAATGTCTATATTTCCTCTCATTTCTACTTTCTACGTCAAAGTGACTAGAATGACAGACATGTCGTATGTTAAATATTCCCGGAATCAATAATCAGAAAAACAATGTTGTATATGGATATTTCTAAACAAAAAAGTCTTTGAAATATTCGAATAAATTATGAAAAGCGGTTCAAATATTCTTCTGGTTGGAATCATGAAATATTCTTTTTCTTTGCGTACTTCTATTTATGATTTATACATACCAACTGTGAATAAAATAATAAAATTCAGAACATAAAATAAACTGCAGAGGGGGAGAGAGAGAAAGAGAGAAGAAAAGCTAAATGATCCATCAAAGTGAGATATACAAAAGAAATAAATGAAGTGAACAATTTTTCGATTTAATTTACTAAAATATCGATTGTACTTAGACATTTAGAAACTGTACAGTAGATTTAGAAACTCTTCTTTGATTATGATGAGCTAAAAAGTATCGAAGAATGTTTGAATATTAACTACTTTTTTAGGAGCTACTAACTTTGTCCTATTTTGTACTTTTATTCTTAGCTAAAAAGTTGAACTCAAAAGTGACAAGAGAATATAATATTTCGTAGAGATACCAAAACTTAAAATACTTAAAATATGAATTTTGGATATCATTATAAAATTTTATTTTTATTTTTTTCTCCTGTTTAGCATTTAAGTGGTGAATAGAAATATCTGTCTTATTCAACGGTAAGCTGATATTTAATTAACATCCATCAAACTAAATTATGGTCGCTGATAATGAACAATTAGAAAAAGCTATTGAAAGCTTTTTTCTTCTTTTCAATGGTGTTGTTATATTTCGTAAGTAAAATGTCTCTTTCGATTTATGTTATTAGTCTAATTTCATTAATTATTATTATTTAGTTATGAGTTGTGGTTATACTCTTATTGAATCTGGTGGTGTAAGAAGTCAAAATGCTGGACATAGTTTATTCAAAACACTTTTAATATTGAGTACGTTTACATACTTTTCTCTAAATTTGTGTCGATTTTATCTAAAATTCTTATTGTTTTTTTTTAGTATCATCAGCATTAGCCTATTGGATATTTGGTTATGCATTTGCATTCGGTCAAAAATCAAATGTTATTTTGGGTTATCAATTTTGGGCTAGCGAACGATTGGGTGACAGAGATTTGCGACCAGGTGTTGACAATTATACAAATGGAAATTTAGTCTTTAATTTAAATAATCAAGATCCATACATTCATTATTTCTATCATTATATGTTAGCATTTTTGGTCACAAATATTGCTGCAAGTGCATTTGCTGAAAGATGTCGTGTACCAGTTTATGTTTTATTTTCATTTGTTATGGCTGGTAAATTGATGTAAAATATCAAAAGTTTAAAATATTTGAATGTCTTCATATTCATTTCAGGATTTGTCTATCCATTTTTGAGTCATTGGATGTGGGGAAGACTTGGTTGGTTAGGAAATACAGTTGGTGCACGAGTAAGTATAAACCATAATATTTATTCAATTATCTCATTTATATTTCTATCAATATTTTATTTAGGATTATGGTGGAAGTGCTATTATATTTTTAACGGCTGGTATTGCAGCATTAATTGGAACAGCATTTCTTGGTCCAAGATTTGGACGTTTTGAACCGAGATCGTTACCACTCTTTGGTCATAGTATACCGGTATGTAATTAAGAATATAGCATTGTATTTTTTCTATAAAAAAAACTAATTTATTTTTATTTAGATTACATCTGTTGGAGCTATATTTGTTGCATTTGGATTTTTTGTCTTAAATTCTGGAGCTGATCATCGAATAACTGGTAGAGCATTTGGCGATCGAGTGGGACATGGTTTAATAAATACATTATTATCGGGATCAGCATCAGGCGCAACGTACTATATTTTACAACGTCTAATTGAAAGTAAGAATTGTACAACAACAATTAGAACAACGTTATAGATAATTAATGTTTATTTTAGCAATAAAAAAACCAACGCGACATTTAAAACGACGAGTATTTTTGTCAACCGTTAATTCAATCTTGGCTGGAATGGTATGAGTATAGATTATATGTTTGATTATAATCTGAATCTAATTATGACTAATCATTTTAGGTAGCAGTGGCTGGTGGAGCAGTAACATACAATCCATGGTCAAGTATTATTATTGGATTTATTGCTGCCTTAAGTTTTCTAATATGGAGCAAATTATTAACAAGATTACTTATTGATGATCCGGTTGAAACGGCAGCTGGTATATGGCGTATCAATAGTCTATATATGATCACTACAAATTGTTCATATTGATTTTAGTTCATATCGGTGGTGGTTTATGGGGAATATTTGCTGTACCAATATTTCGACGTGCAATTGGATTAAATGCTGATGGTGTCACTGATGGAACTATTCCAGACTTTTCAATAATTTATAATATAAGGAATGGTGAAAGCTGGAGAGTATGTATTATAAAATATAATCAAATATGCAAATATAACTAGGAATAAAAATTATTTACTTATTCTAGGGTTTGTTAAATGCACTATGCACTGCAGCAGTCGTCATAGCTTGGGTGGCAATATTTATTGCCTTATTATTTCTCATTTTGAAATTAATTAATTTATTAAAAGTATCAAGAGAAGAGGAATTAAGAGGTAACAAAAAACAAAATCAATAACATGTGGATTTTTTAATGGCTGTTTTTTTTTTAATCTTATGTCAGGTATCGATTTATTTCAACATGGTGAACCAGGTAAGAGTATTTTTTCGAATTTCAAACGTAATATTAAAATTTTTTCATTTTTTAGCATATGCATTGAGAATTTATTGTGCTGCATGTGGAGAACAACTTCAAGCCAAGACTATTGAAACTGAAACGAATACAGGAATTGGACAACGAGGAAATTTTCCAGCAATTGTAACGGATGCCGAAGGAGGTATGTTATTTTCTTTCTATGAAACATCTAATGGTAACGTATTATATGCTTGATATAATATAGTTAAACCATTGCTGTGGTCTTTCGTGTAGCTATTGTTCAAGAGTTAGCTACGTTGCAAATTCTTTTTGGTCGAAAGAATTTATCCTTTTTGGTCGAAAGAATTTATCCTTTTTTTACTGGGTTTTTTATTTTACACCAAAGTCAGATAAAGAGATGTGTGGACAACCTTTGCTTATTATTCAAAATTCAACTGGGTATTAATTAGCATCAGCCACTGATCACACGGGGCGACTAGTTTAGCTCAATAAAAGTATGCGAATGCACAGCTCACAGACTGACATTTTATAAAATGAAAATTTATAGATTTTCTCTTATATATTAGTTCGCTTGATTAAATGTCATGTTAATATTAGGCATTCAACGGATCTAATCCAAATTTTAACTTTAGCTAGTAGTATGAACATTTGAGTGAATTTTAGTTTGAGAAGTGGCGAAGTTTGATGCACGCTTCGTATTAAACGACACACGATATCTATACCTCTCCTACTCAATTTGCTACTATTTCTAATGGTGCTCTAATATCTGAGTCGAGAAAAGTTAAACGCAAAAGTGAAGTGTGAAACTCTTCCATCAATTTCTTACGTTGATTATACAGCTTTGTGCTTTACTTTTGTGTTGAACATATCTCGACAGAGATAATTTAGCACTACTTCAATGTCCGTTTCAGTCCTACAGAATCTGGTCCTCTAGCAGTCCAAACGAACATCCCCGTTTGTTGGATGAAAAAGTCTAATAGATACATTGTAACACTGTGACAGTATCATTTCGATTTATTTAGAAAAAAAAATTTTTTTTGTTCACTTGCGATATGTCAGTCCTAGAGAATATCCAGTTTGCCTGGTCTTGAAAACAGAGTGAAGACTTATTTACTTACAGGTGTCTGTTTCATGTTCTTTTTTACTTGTTCTGGTTAGCTTCAAGATCAGAGCAAGAAAGTGATAAGATCAGACCAAGATAGTCTGTTTTTTTTACTGATACGACAAACAGTAAATCTTGGTCTGGTCTTGGTATTTTCTGAGAAACAGGCATCGGTCAGGTTCAAGACCAGAACCAGTTTTTTTCATAATCACCGTTTTGTTTTGCTACTTAGCAACGTAGTATATGGTAACCATTAATTCTTCGAAAAATTTCTGCGCTGAACAAGAGATATTTAACGGCATTTCGAGCCGGATGGTTACATTGGAAGCTCTCTAGAGGGTCTTAGAAAACTTTCTGGGTTTCTACTGATTTCTGCGCAGTATGGACGGTTAGCGAGCAGCATACCTAATTTTTGAGCAACCCATCAGTTATTAGAAATTTTTCATATATATAACTTTTTCATATATAGAGCAAGCTCGCGGTCTTGATTTCTTTCTCTTATCAGGTGAAAAACAGATCCTGACCAGAAAAACAGGCAAGAACTTTTTTTACTTACAGGTGCCTGACCTCTAGAGAAGTCACTATTTTTTTCTCTAAGATTAATCTAGCACCGTTTTTAAAATTATTGAGTAGTACTAAATTATCTTGATCAAATTACTTATCTATAATTGAGAAAGCTATGTGAAATTCGAGTTATTAAAGCGCTTTGATTACAGTTTGACTAAGCAAAATAGTGGAGTAAATTAATATTGAATTAGAGGGACTAGTCTATCAATTTACTTAGATTTAATCGTCTTTTGTGTCTCCATAATATTTAGCTTACGTTCTCGATGACATGCGTAGGTAAGAGACGAAGAAAAAAAGATAATATTACTGTTCAATGACAAACACCACGATAAATACTCACGAAATCAATTATTTTCACGAATTTTATAAAACAACCCTTCGTTTTATAAAGCACATGTTCGCACTCTTTGACAAACGGCTTTAAAGTCAATAAACACTTTTGATCTTTATATGCTTAGCATATTAAAAATTCAGTCAGTGCTTATGAGCGCTTACACATTCCTTGCTATAAGATTTTACGTAGTGGGAAGAATCTAGTGGCGTATCCAAGGGAGTGCATGGGGGGGGTTGAGCACCCCCACCGACTTTTTCCTGGTTACGCCACTAGAAGAATCTCGCTCAAACTAATGCTTGAACCATAACATCCACAAAAATTGAAGATGTGTCATATTTTCATTTTCTATATTTCTTTTCGAAGATCAAATATCATTGAGATACTAAATGGTCAACGCAATATGCAGGCCCATATCAAATTTTTTTATTACTTCTCTTCTTCAGTCCTAAGAGAAAAACAGAAATTAATGAAGTCCCTTGTTAATTATAAAAAAATCCACAATAAATAAATCCAATTGACTTTTATGCACTCTTACATTCAGTTGCAGATATTTCAGCAAATAGAAATGCTGTTATACGGTTGATAGAGTGTGTATTTTTTGCTTCATCATAAAGAGACCGAGTCAAATACTTTTACTTCGAATAAACTTATTTCTTGCTTTGTCTACTTGAATTAAAATTGGGATTGCTTTTAGTTTTGCTAAAATATTCTTCAAAAACGTAACTTTTAACACTAAAATCATTTCGGTGATGAAAAATTGATTGTTACTACCACCTCTCAGCTTTATGGCTTTTATACAATGAGTAGAGGCATGCGTTCTTTATACTATACGTAAACTTTTATATCATCTAAAACAAAATGTTATCTGTACGTATTGTTATTTTTTCTAAATGAAACAAAACACACTGATGAGAAATATGAATAGATTTTACAAGATTTATCATCGTTCGCTCTTTGAATGAACATTTTAACGGAACAATTGACATGAAAAAATAAACGGGAAAAACTTCATTTATTATCATCGTTCCAATTCAAAGATGAAGGAAATCACATCATTTAGAAATTCAAGCATAAAAAATCTATTATCTAAGAGTTGATTTTTTTTATTTTTGAATAAATAATAAATGATTTTACAAATTTTAAAATGAAATGCTTTAATGAATAGACAACGTCTTGATTATGATTTTAACGCCTCTAGAATACATGTTTTTGTATGCATTGTACACTAATAAATTTCTTTTGTAATGCACAAAATAATCGAGATCAGATCATTTTCGATAAAAGTCCACATTTATCAAAGAAAAACTTCCACATTTTGAAATATAGACTTTGAGTGCATGACAAAGAACGATAAAGAGAAAACTTTAAAAAATGTCTCTATCATTTCCTAGATTTACGGAACTAGTGTGATTTTACAACATTCCAATGCTTTTTGTAGTGGTTATCAGACGAAAACAGAAAAATTCCGTCTTCCATATTGGATAATTAAACATTTTAGACTGAAATTTTTATTCACATGATAGACTTTAACCTGTGAAAATCTGGTTTAAATTTGTTCCACAGTTTAAAAATTAAGGCCTTTAATGAGGTTCGTTTTTTATGATTCCAGCATTCAGCTACTATCTACTATCTGTATTTAGTTGTGAATATCTTTAAAATTGACTATTTATTGTGTCTATATTTTAGCAATCGTCCCTATCGAATATTTCAGTGATGGCCGAAATGGTGGTGGAAAACCGATTAAAACTGGCGGTTTAAATGAAGAAAATCGTGTTTAATTAAAAAAAATGAGAATTATAATTAAATATATTCAACAGTAAAAGATTAATGAATAATATCATCATTTCATTAAAATAGTGGGCAAAACAGTTATTGTTGTTATTATTATTATTATTCATAAGAATAATAATTATTACATCTTCTCTTTGTGCTTTTTGTTTGTTTTTGTAAACCAGATATAAAAAAAAAATTTTTTCTCGTTCATTCTTGTCTATATGTGTTACAGTATCTATAGTTATAATATTTGTGTTTTGTTAGAATAGCTTGAATATAAGAAAAGCTTTATGTTTTTTTTTTTCTATAGCGATTCAACAGTATTGGTTTTGATTTTATTCTTTCTTCTTCCTCTGCTCTGTATGTATATGTATGTGTATGTTAGTCTTTGATAATGACAATCAAACCATCCCATTCAGCGATAATCAGCACATATACACAGTTTAAACTTTTCTTCTCTCCTTTTTTTTGTGGTATAAGCATTACAAATTTAGCATATTTCATTTTGGTTTCAAGAATTTAAATCTGTTTTGTATGTGTACACGTTCTCTCTCGCTCTCTCTCGTTCGTTTTCTCCTTTTTGAAAATGATCGAGTTAACCTTGAATGATGTACATTTCCTTAACAATGCGAGGAAAGTATATTAAATAAAAAATCAGAACTCATAATGTTCAATAGTGTTATCTATCCGTATACACTTTATCTCTCTGTATTTTTTTTTTTTTGTTTCTATCCATCTCTATTATGTTTTGTCTTTTTGTCTTTTTGCTCAAGTTGTGTGTTTAGGTGTGCATGAATCGCTTTTTTTTTTGCTAAAATAAATGTGAAATGTTTAAAAACAACAATTGGCATTTGTCTGCTGGATGTTTGTGTTTTCTGACAAAACTGTTCTTTTTTGTCATCGTTGCACATGATGCTTTACAGTTTGTTTGCTTTATTATTCTCTCGTTATATTTTCTCTTCTCGTGTTTCTTTCTTTATTTGAAAGACAAAGTATATATTGTCGTTTTGCTTGATTTTTTTAATTTAAACGTTTATACAAGGATCAAGACACTTATTGATATATGGTATAGTGATTACTAAAAGTTTTTGTCAGATTTAACACTAAGCCAACTTCAATTTATTACATTATTTAAATATTCGTATACGCTATTTCACAAGAAGATGAACAATTTTGTTATATTAGATAAAAATGACACACCTTCTAACGTTGTCGACTTTTATAGAATATGTTGACGTTTTGATATAATCGATTTTTTCGTGCTTTATTCATATATTAAAACTAATAATAATATTATTGTTCTAAATGCAAAAACATGCATCAATCAGTTCTAACAATTAAATGATGCTCAAAAGATTAAGAAGAGCGCGTTGAGTAATTACAAAAGAATTGTATCTAAAAAGAATGTCTTATTCAATCTTCTTTGATGAGTCGAAGTATTGCAACATCGTCTTTAAATAAGATTTGAAATCGGACTCCCTTTTATTTACTCGTTATTTCATCTAAAAAACTGCCACTCTTTTTTCTTAAAAAGTTAACAATTTAAAGAGATTCCATGGAAATTCTCTAAAATTTGCTGATATCTGATATCAAATTGACAGAAACTGCATAAAACTTTCAAGAGACTTCAGAATAATCAATTTTGTTGTTGTCTCTAAGTAAAGTGGTGGAACAAAGAAGTTTCATAGTTGTCGAGGATATCGAAGTATCTATTTCCGGATTATTTTTAGAATAATTTTAAGTTCATAAATGACACGAACCATAAAAAGTTTATCTCACATTTTGATACTGATTTTTTTGCTATAAATATCAAGATCTCTTTCATAAAAGATGGTATTATCATATTGTGACAAAACTAGTATTGATCAAATGAAAATATTCAATTAGACAAAAGGTATAAAATTTAATCTATATACCTAAATAAGAAATAACAACGCAATTTATGTAACAAGTCTCCAACGCAGTATAAAAGAAATATATTACAAAAACTAATATTTACTATTTTTTTAATTAACAACTTCAATATTTTATCAACAATAATTAGTTTGCATATTCGATTCTTCATTTAAATGTTCACGTATCAATTAATAATCAATCCTACTAAAATTTTTCAAGATAACACAGATAATAAAAACTGTTCTTCTTCTACATCCCACATCCAATAAAGAATTCTTCTTGAGTTCCAGATAACAATAAATAATAGTCGAGAAATTATAGAAACCAAATTTTGTATGTTTCGATCAGAGATGGACGAGTCCGAGTCGACTCGAGTCGCATTGTCTTTGACTCGGACTCCGACTCGAGGTGAAAGACTCGATCAATTTGATAAACTGATCCGAGTCACTTACAAGTCAGCCATGTGCAACTTGGGATTGTTATGACGGTGTTTATTATATTTTTTACGTACCAGAAGAGAGAGAGATTTGAGAATATTCTAAGTAGAACATCGCGTCACAGGAGAGGTTTGAAGAACTGTCCTTGGAAAAATGAATCAGGAGGAAGTTTTCCTGTAGAAAATGACTCAAAGTGACTCGAGTCAATTTTTGATGCGATTCGGACTCGACTCAGACACGAAAAAGTGGTGACTCGCCCATCTCTGGTTTCGATAAGGTAATTCAGAGTGTGAGGATAAAACGGAAAGTGCATGTCACATGTGACTGAATATGTTAGTGTATTGCTTATTCTTTTTGATAGATGCATTGAAAATTTATGATAATAACTATCGTACATATATGGGAATTATATGGCATAATCATGGCTGTATGTTCCAGTGGTTGGATTATAGAAGTACGACACTTCAAGAAAGATGGATCATTCGGGTACAATCTGCCGTTGTGAAATAGGACTTTACGGCTTGGGAACATAAAATGACGTCTCAATGAGATGCTTTTTTCGACATCCATGATTTATTCACGTGTCTTCGCTCTGTTCAATTTGTTTTAAACATTCTGTCTTTAGGAATTTTCTGATAGATTAAAGAATGGAGAATCATTTGAGATATTCTACAAAGTTGTGATTTTTCGTAGTAAAAATAGACCATCAATGTTAAATTTACTGTAAAACGAAAAAACCATGATGGCGTAACGAAGACACTTTTTTTATAACAGCTTTTTTTCGTAATGCCAGCCATCTTGAGTATAATTTCAGAACAACTTAATCAAAGACGTTCCAACTTTCAGATCAGATTTGGACGATTTGAAATGCACAAAATGGTGTAAAAATTAAATCTCTTGTTCACCTATTTTCTAAGAAAAACAAAAAAAGATTGTAACCGAGTCGTAATGCGCTTGCGCTTGTCTAAGCCGTTCAGTTTAATGTGGAAACGCAAGAGAATTTTGTAAGATGCTTCAAATTGATATCCATATATTCGATATATGTAATTGCGATATAGGTGTGAAATGAGTGGAATGAGTACGAAACATGTCTTCATACTTGATTATATTTATCCGTATCCTATTCAATTTCAATTCATACCATATATTATCTAATAGCGAACACCAACGTTTGTTAATAACCAGTCTATATATACATGTATATATTCGTTCACATCTATATCATTAACAGTCATACCAATTTTAAATAAAAAACAAAAAATATGAAAATGTTCAGTTATTAATCATTTCCATCTTGTTTTTATTCAATAACAATGGATCAAATACTATGTCTTTTGTGTCAACACAGATTAATTTACAACATAGTAAAATATTTTTTTTGATAGAATCTATATGAATTCAAAATTTTGAGAGCCAATCCAGATTGGCCTATCCTTTCGAAAATGTCGAAATACAAGATAGTCAAACTTCAACACATGCATGGGTTAATGCTCAGGTCGCGGGCTTTTCACTTCAAGCACATATTTTGTAAAGTCCATTGAGCTTTATCGTATATATGAGATTTAACAAAGCGTCAGCATTTTCTCTAAAGGTTCTTACATGCAAAAAGTGTCTAATCTGCTTGCTCATAAGAGATGCTAATTTTCTTTGTTCTGTGAAAACCCATAGTGTGAACAAACATTTTTTTACATATTCTTATCGAGAAGTTTTAGGTGTTCAAAGGAACTAATGGATATTTAATGAAAGACTTCTAAAACCTTATTTTAAAACTTTATATCAAATTAAAATTTAAAAATCAGAACAGATGATTATCAAAAATTTTAGTAGCCAAATATATTCTCTATCTTACATACATATAACATATATATATATATATATATATATATGTTTACGTTTGTTCCCTAATCTTTTAACTATAAAATAATTTGAAAATGAGATAAAGTGATTTAGAATAATATTCGCTACTTTGTATTCCATTAAAGTGAACTGAACAATATAACAAAAAAAAACAAGAAGATAAATACAAAGTTTAATGATGTAGACAACATTAACCTTTTTTAATTTTGTCTAATTAATCATCAGTATCATTTGTGGCTGGTACTGGGTTCTGTTCTCAAATTGATAAATTATCAAGTTCTTCGTTCGCTTTATAAGTGGTATAATCTCTCGCAAAACAGACGTTGTACTGTTTATGACGTCTCGAAAATAAACTAAAACTGAACAGTTAGAATTACTATTATAATTAAGAAAGTAAAATTGATATATTTATTATCGAAAATAATTTTATCAGATCAACAACCAAGTAGATATGAAAATTATATACAGATCTAATAACGTAAATAATTTGACATTTTACCAATAATAATTCGAACAGTAGGTATCTGAATAAATGTGTCTTTCATTAATGATTTAGCACATTCTATAATATTCTTTCGTATTGTATGACTATCTTCCAATGTTGATGATGTTCGATATTGTTCAATATGTTCAATTAACCAATTGTCTGTCATTGCGGCAAAATCAACATCAAAACTTACAGGTGTTTGATGCATTGTCACATCACAACTATGCAAATATAATCCATTAATATTTGCTTGTTGTTCAATATCTGCTTTTGTTCTAGCATGTGTGTCATATTTTAATTTTTTTCCATTATCATGAAAATAAATTGGATAATTACAATTTAACAATGCTTGATTTATATAAGAACGAGATATATTTAGATGATTTGTTTCTTCAAAATGAACTGTATCCGCATAAGAATGATACCATAATGTGTAGAGAAAATAACCATTTGGTTTTAACAATTTTGTAATAATAGGAAAAATTTCTTTCTCTGACATTAGATGCATTGAAGCATTACATAAAATAAATGTAAAGTAATGATGCGGTAAATCAGTGCTTGTTAAACAATCTTCAGCAGATATTTTCAATGGATATAATTTTGGTAAATTTGTTCCATATTTCTTATGTAAATTTTCTATTGCTAATTGTAACATAGCCTCAGCTGGTTCAACAAGATACAAAGAATTTATTTTTAATTTCTCAAGTAAAATAGATGAAACTAAACCACTTCCAGCAGCCAAATCGAGTACATTCATATCATTAGGAGATATATTTTGATGTGCTATGACAAAATCGATTAGTCCCATACACATATCAGTGAATATTCTATAATTTTGAGTTAGTTTTTCGTAAGCCAAGGCACGTATATGCCATGATTCAATAGTTTTCGAACGTGACGTCATTATGTCACGATAAAAACATCTTGAACATATAAAAACAAGAGTATATTTCTAATAAATGGAAGATAAGTGAAAAGTAAGCTTCGTTTTAATGATAAATTTTGTTTTAGTATTACTTATTGTATGCATACTGCACTATTATAGTAATCGGATTGAAAATTTATTTTTGTTTCATACAAAGTAAGTAAAACTTACTATTTCACTTTTAAATTTAGAAATAATGATTAATAAATCATTAAAAAATAATCTTTTTTTATTATTTGTATTCTATTTTATTTTATCACTTTCGAGAGAAGAAAAAAGTATAGATGAAATAGAAATATCAATTTCTTTTTGTCTAGTTCAAAAACATTATGCTCTGCATAGAAATGTTCAATTTGACAAAACGATGAGAAGAAATTCTATTCCATTACAAAATACACAGTTGAAGATAACAAATAAGAAAAAAATCAAATGCATAATAAAAATACAGTAGAACTGAAAAAACCTAACATTGATAATGAATAACAGTGTAATAGAAAAAGAATGATATATTCTTTTTCATAAAATATTATTCGTCAATAGAACTTCAAAAGAGGAGAAAACAATGAAATGTAAATAAATGAATGATGATCTGGTCTTTACTTAAGAACATGGAATGTGTATCCCATACTCTCCGCGCTTAAATACAGTAAAGTATAAATAGTAAGAATATAGTAACAAAACATGAAGATAGTAGATAACAGTCAAGCTGTTTGAAACAACAATATATCGTGAAGTATAAATCAAAGGACAGTTAAAAAGATGAGTTAAATTGTTTTTATTTTAAAGAGTTCGTCGTTTTATTATTGATTTCCCATTGTATACAGTTTACTCACTGTTCGGCGAACGATAGATCATATTCATCTTCAATATCAGGAAAATTTTCTTACAGTATGTACTATACAAAACTGAAGAGATTACGATTTCTTCTATCCGACATAGAGATTTTTTTTGATTTTTGTCGGTGAACAAAAATTGGTGAGAAAAACAAAAACGACGGCTATTATGATAACAAAAATGAGTGAGAAAAAAAATGGAACAATGCGTTGTTACTTAATTAACATGAAATTCGTTGTATTATTACTTTTTTTGTTAAAATAAATCACTGTTGTACATACGAATTGAAAGGAATGAAAAATCAACTAGTAATATTTGATATATATAAACGTATAAATAGATCGAAATAACCTCAATGCCCTAGAAACAGATCATGAGTGAAACGAACGACATAGTAGCGCAAAACAAAATAAATACGATTCGCGATACAAAATTGTTTAAGGTTTTATTCGATTTGGACGGTCAAAACTTAACAACGCCATCTCTTCTGGAAAGCACCGGATGGCTCTTAGAAAGCGACTGTAATTTACATTTATATTCTCATTTTGACAACGCTCGAGGATAAATTATCATTTTCCGTTGTTATTGTGGATGTTGCTACAGAGGAGGATGAGATTGGTATTGTTGCTTTTGATAAATGATCATGTAATGTTTTAATAAACTCATTACTAAAACCCGGATATCGTAACTGAGCGTTTTCGAACATTTGATACAGATCATGAAATAGTTCAGGACCCGTTTGTTGTGATAGTGATGAATGAACGACACCATTCGATGGTGATGAAGATGGAATATTAAAACGATGAGAAAGCTAAAAGAAGAAAAATTAAAACTGAAAATAGAACGAGATAAAAAAAAATGAATTATACTTCTGAAAATATGGATTTTAACACTGGATTCAGTTCAACAGAACGTTTCACTTCTGCCAATGGTTGAGACAAAAAATGTTCGGCTTCATCAGTATCAGACTAGTAAATAAACACAATATTGTCAAAGTAGTAAAATAGAATTAGCTAACAGTCGTAAAATTACCGGTCCGCGACCACCATGCCGTGGACGATGTTGTTTAACGACACCATCAGACAAGGGTTTCACTGTGAAATTCCAATCTCCAACAATTGTTTTGTTCTTCTGTCTATAAATGTTAGAAAATAATTTACTAGATGATCTGTTTTTTACAGCAAAAAAAATGTATCATCATTCTAAATATCTCACATGAACAAACAAACTCATTACATCTGAATCTCAATTATTATTTCAGGAATTAATTTTTACAAATATCTATAATTTTTCACATGTATTTCAGTCAATCCAGCTACCATAAGAGGTCATTTTTTCGCTATATTTTTCTTTCGAAGAGAAAAGAAGGATAGATTAAAATAAGATTAATTTGTCAAAATGGTAAAAACATTCTAACTATCATCATACAGATGTATATTCTAGAAATTTTCTATTTGGTTCGTATTGATATTTACTTTTCTTCATCTGAATCAGAGCCACTATCTGAACCGCCGTTTTTATGACTGTCTTTCCATCGTCGATAACGATCGATCAATTCCACTAAATATTTGGTACTTTTTTTAATTGTAACAAAATTGAACTTTCTAAGTTGTGATGCGGTTGGTCGCTGAAAAAAATAAACAAATGCTTTTTTTTCCATTTAATAAATTTTAGAAGAATGTTACTCACATGTTCAGGTGTTTTCTGTAGGCAGCTTTCGATAAATTCTCGAAATACTTTAGTATAATTTCCAGTTAACTGTGGTGGAGGATTTTTTGGTATTTGAAGTAATACTCTCATTGGATGAAGATCAGAATAGGGTGGTTCTCCTTTAGCTAGCTCAATAGCTGTTATCCCTAATGACCAGATATCAGCCTAAAATGGATATATCTAATCAACATGTACACAGAAACACAACCATTACAAAATGCACATACAGAATAATCATATTTGTGTTGCATAATAACTTCTGGTGACATCCAAAACGGTGTTCCCACAAATGTATTTCCTTTATTTACTGAATCGGTCAATTGTTTCGCAACTCCAAAATCAGCAAGTTTCACATCTCCATGTTCAGACAATAAAACATTGGCAGCTAAAAAACAATACTGAATGTTGAACAAAATATGTCCACGAATAAGATAAAAAACTTTGTTTTACCTTTAATGTCTCGATGAATCTTTTTTTCAGTATGTAAATATTCAAGACCTTTGAGAACTTCACGTAAAATAATGGCGATATATTGTTCATCGAATGGACCGGGTTTCATCAAATCCAATGCTGAACCACCACCTAAATATTCCATTATTATCCATAGTTTTGTTCCCTATTGTAAAAAAAAAGAATAAAAGTTGTTACATACTGTATTCTCTCTCATTTTCTGAGCATACCTTTAGATAGGACCCAAAATATTTTGTTATGAATGGTGAATTACACTGTGATAAAACTTGAATTTCTTGTTGTATATCTTCTATTTCATCTTCAGCCTTTTCCAAATCAATTATTTTGATTGCAACAACATTCGATGATTTTATATTGATTCCTTTGTATACTTCACCAAATGAACCACGACCAATATGATCAAGACGCTGAAATATTTCTTCTGGATCAATATGACCCTGAAACAACAACAGCGCTCCTAAACAATGTTCATTACAAAAGCAGAAAGTATCTTACCTGTTGTCCAGGAAGTGGAGCCAGAGTACTCATTAAGACTGCTCCAAAACTCTAACATGTACCTAAGCAAAGAAATGTCAATAGATTATTTTTCAAATTGGTTTCAGATTGAAGAAAAAGGCTATATCAATATTCAAAAAACTTTAGCACTAGATGATTCTTCTTCAGAATTTTATTTGTTAACAAAAAAGCTGTACTGGTAAATATGACAGAAAATTCTTTCATGCATACTCACTGTCACAATTTAATTATTTGTTTTTTCCGTTTCCCTTTTTGTTTCTTTTCTTCCACATACAGTATAGTTTAGTATAAAACAGCGTGATGCGAATATGAGACTGAGTAATGAGTACTCTCAGCAAACTTTCAGCTGTAGTGTGTGTATATTATAGTGTAGCTGTTTGTGTATTCCATCTTTCATCGCCGAGCTGTGGTAAAATACGGATTTGTTTTCTAATTAGTAAGAAATGAGTCAAATGACAAATAAAATATCATAAGTTCACACACAATAAAAGCAAATGTTAATAGAATATTATCAGAAAATATAAAACAAAAACTGAGATGATTGTGGCGCCTTCTTTCTGACAAACCTGATCGGAGATAAGCTATAACGAGATTTACTAGTAAATTAAGTTTGCAGGGCATATGGTAGATTGACCGATAAGAATTATTCTGGGCTCAAATAAGTGTTCATTAAATTAATTAAATTTGCAACGCAAAGTTCTTGAATTTTAGGGCAAAAGTATGACACTAGTAATATAGGATGGAAAAGTTACCACTTACCTTGGCCATGTTGAATCTGTACAATTATTTTTTCTTTTACGGAATTTCTCTTCAGAATCTCTCAATGTACCAAATTGCGGCAGAAAACGGATTATCAAAACCACCTTTTGGATTATAGCTTATATTCATCCCTAGTCCAACATCTTGAAACCAAGATCTTGCCCAAGATCTTACGTTAAGATTTGGCACTAGATCTTGAAAAAATGGGTACAAGATCTCAGGACATTTTTGCACTCAAGATCTTACGCAAGACCTTGGGTACGGATATTTCTTGATATCTTGTACCCAGGATCTTGAACATTTGAAAAATCGTCATATTTCAAAACTAAC